CAGACTGGTTCTGATGCATGCAGCAGAGGTTTGTGGATGCTATCACTCCTCAGCCTGTGGTTGATCAGATTAAAAAAAACAAAAAAAAACAGGTTTGTTTAGTTTGTTGTGCTGAAGTTTCTGTTGAAATTTGTGGTTGTGTTTTGTCTCTGATAGGTGGATACCCTGCACCGTGCTACACACCTGACGGGCGGCTATGAGGAGCTGTCGGGTAGTGGCCTCTACACCCCTCATCGCCTGGATGTGAGTAGCACCTTAAAGGCCCTCTTGTGGTGTAGCTGATGAATAAGTATGCAGTTACTCAGGAAACCTGCCTAGTATATGCTCTGCAAAGTTTTCTTGAAATTAATTCAGGTAGATGAAATGTTACTATCACTGGAATTTGACATTTTCCCCTCTTGCTAGGTTTGTGGGTGTCTTAAGGAAAAGCTAATCAAGCAAACACTGATTTGGATAAATTTGGTTGGAAGGAGTTTTAAGATATCCATGTTAAACCTAATTAATTTCTAAAATTGTATTTCAATGTGAAGCAGATCTTAACTGCATGTTCAAATGCTGTTGAAACAATAGTTATAGTTGCAACCTAGATGTCAAAAAACTTTACTATTTCTTAAACGCTTAAATACAAATTTAGACCAGTCTGAACATCTCAAGTCTTGCAAATCAACAAATGAATGCTTACTGGTATGTGACAATAAACCAATAGCAGCTTCTTTCTAGGAAATAAGTTAGACATCAACTTCAGGAATTTTTTTCTTCAGGCTAATGATTGGTTTGCTTGAGATGAGCCGGGCTTTGCTCTGACATCACGCAAATATAGTCAGCAATTACCAGACCTAACAATTACGTCTGTGCAGCCGATTCATACACAACAGCAAACGGACATGATCGCTGTCTGGCTTGAGAATTTTAGCCTGTTTTCATGTATGATGTAGTGATATGGAGGTTAAACCATAAATGCTGTCATGATGATCACAGATTGTCTACATAGCATTTTGAAAGGCTGCCCTGTCTCACAGAAGATTATTAAAGCAAAAATGATTGGAGGCTGAATACAAGATGAACAGATTGGTGTCATTACATTTTTATTCATGGGTGTCAGATCAAACGCAATGTTTCTGTGACCGCTTGTACAGGATGTTAAGGCTGTTGCATTTTTTTGCAACCACCATTTAGTATGCGTGTCAGAGTTTATTTCAGTCAGTCAGGAAGCTGCTCTCATGTTGTATGAGATGAGTAGTTCTGAGAATGAATAGTATTGTGTCCACAAATCAGTAAGCTGTATTGAGGTTGCATCATTTGGTTAGAAATCAACTAAAAATGTAGTTGATTTTGACTATTAATTATGAAACTCCCTCTTAATGCTCTATTCTCTTCCCTGACTGTTTGCAGGCTAACAGCTGGCAGGACACCACCAACCCCCCCTCGGTCACCTCCCCTCCCGGTCCTCCTGGCAGCGTCCACTCCGACACCTCCAACTGATCCGGTGGCTCTCTCGCTGCCATCACTTCATTCCCACTGTGGTCTGCTCTGACTACCATCCTCTGTCCCCATTCTTCAATATACCCTTGTCTCTCAACCAGACAGCCACACAAGGCTGTATTTGCATTTCATAAACACACACTGTGCTGGAACACAGGACAGCCGAACACTAGTTAGGAGGAGTTCTCCCTCCACCCCAAAGCTCCACTTCAATGCTCGAAGCTCCATAACTCAGAATGAAAGGAGGATGGAGCTCACTGATACTGAGACAGATAGAAAACATCTTTACTATCAAGGACTTTTTGAAAACCACTGACCCAGCTGTGTAGATGATCATGATGTCTGTACATTATGTGTATATGCACGTTAACTTCACACAGTACTCACACAGCTTGTCCATGTGCTGTTGACCTCTGCACTCAACCCTTTGCTTTGGAAAACTGTGTGTGATTGCCTGTATCTCTTGAAGCCTTGGCATTTGACAGCCAAACTGTTGATACAGATCACCAGGGAGCTCTGCTCACCTTGCTCGTACCAAAGTGCTGCCCCAGTAGTTGTCAACACATCTGTTCCTCCGAGACCACCCTCTGCCAACTCTACACAAGACGTTGTTGTATCTTCCGGTCCTTACAGCTTGATATTTCATTCTGTTGGAGATTTCAAAGTGAATAATTGAGACATGCGCAAAGGTGCATGCAACCCCCTTCCATAAACACACACCCTACAACTTTTCAGTCGTTTTCATAGTGAGCTGACATAAAAGATGTGTCAAGCACAAAAGTTAGCATCCTTGTTATGGGTGTCTCTACCTGTAAAAGGGTAGTTAAGGGGATCACTGTTCTAGACCAGGCAGGACAGGTGATAATAGGGCTGGCGAGGAGAGGATGAAAGGGCAGAGAGAGGAGAATTTCTTTGGTTGAGTGGATGTAACTAATAGCCCTTTTTGTTGCTAACCAATAGAGGGTGCTGGTAGATGGCTTGTAGACTTTACTTCTTGCTTTCTGTCCACTAGTTTATTTGATTGTAGGCTATTTTCTAATGCTGTTTCACCAAGAATGCACCAGCCACCACCAAAAATGAGCTCAATAAAGCATCTAAATGACGTTAGGAGAAGGGTGGAAAGATTGTGGGGCATTGATGTGTTATTGGGACAAACGTGACATGAATTTAGAAACGTGACTGTCTTCCATGCATGTAGGACTTCTAGGCGTGATATTATTGTTTTCATTTAACCTTCCGAGTTTTTAGCTTTGTTTTTATTAACAAAAAAATAAAGGGTATAATTATTACAGTCAGACCAAAAAGGAAAAAGTGCATCATGTATTGCTATGATGTGTGTCTCTGTGTGGGCGTGTGTACAGTCTTCTTGGGATGTCTTAGTCAAACTGGCTGGTGCCCTCTGACCTTTGTAAGCATTATAGAGACTGGGTGCTTCCACCAGCCAATGACAACACCAGGTGGGGTTCCACTGAGATCTCCTCCCCATCTTGAAACGTTTAAGCTCGTGAGCCCAAGGCAACACGCTACAACCTTCTGTTGTACCAAAACCAAAAATACCACGTTCAGCAATGTAATAATGCTACTCTGTGTCTCTCTAAAGTTGGTGCACAGCCACCTTTTCAGTTCGAGGCGAGGAGGGAATTATATTTGTATCTGTGTCTCTCTTGTGTGGTGTTGTCATGCCTCAAGTTGATTTCATTTTTGGGGTTTTTGTTGTGGGGCTTCATGGGAGGGTGGGTGGAGTGAGGACTGTCATATCAGACCTGTAATTTGATTGTGAGCATAGAATTTATGCTCTCCCCTTTACCCATCTTTTAATATCTTCTGGTAAAACCACAACTATTTTTGATTTTATTTCTATGGCCAATTGGGCAAGGGCTTCTCTCTCTCCTCTGTTACCAAAAAAAGAGGCAGCACTGGGTGTAGTAAAACAATTAACTTGTGTTTAAGACAAACCTGCAGCGTTTTTGGGGATTTTCATTCTTTGGAACTATTTTATACATTAACTGTTATGTGAATAACAAAGCATTTTGATAGTAAGGTAAAGCCTTATGAATATTTAAGTGTCAGTCAAGACTTTGTTGAACCATATGTTACAGAACAAAAACTTGAGCTTGTAAGCTGGTCACATGTGATATCCCACATTTAATTACTTGTTTTGTTACTCATCGCAGTTCATACGACTGTATCTTATGAATAACGTTATCGCCACACCAAATTATCATGCCCCCCCCCCCTTTTTCTACCTGTTGTAATGGATGTCACTGTACAGTTTGTGTAATGTTTCAGTATTTTTTTTTTCTTTTATAAACTTCGATGTTTGGTTGAGATGCCAGTTTTATTTGGCCTTTGTGCCACAGAATTCACGATAACTCTGTATCAATTTTGAATATTATTTAGGTCTTTTGTTACATAACCGGGTGGCAATGTATGGTTTAGAGGTGTAACATTTGGTGCTGTGGAAAGAATTGTATCAATTGAGGTTCTGCAATGAACATTATTTGGTATATTTTGCCATGCTAATCCCTGGACACCTTTCTCATCTGATTCTACCACCATTTCCCACACTCCCTCAGTTATACAGTCACTTTTCCAAATATTCACCCACTTTTGTGCCTAATTTAATCCTAAATCTTGTTTTAATGCTGCTCAAATTATTCCATGATATCAGTTATACGGAGTGGCAAAAAGTTTTTAATCTGACTAAATTACATAGATGGCTATTAAATTCAAGCTCTTAGACCTTTAAATTTATCACACCTTGACAGCTAAATGTGATGGTGCAGATGTTGCCCGTTTTGTGTAAAACTAATCTGAAATTAATTTGGCTAACGGCTAAGCTGAAACAGGAAGAGAGCCAGACTTTCATGTTTAAGTGCATGGTGTGTGCTATGCTCCAGTCATTGTGCATGACAACAAAAACACCTATGCCTAAATGCATAGACGTCATTATGTGGTGTGCCACATTATGTGGTGCCCTGTGATGTTGCAACTCCAATTCTAAAATACAGAACTTAATTTTACTTTCTATGGTTGATCATTTAAATCTTGTTTGGATTCTGCAAGTGACTAAATGACTTCCACAGCATCAAATGTCTCCTTAAACCTTTTTGATTTCTTTGTTTTTATTAGTATATTTGTATCTCCCCTCTTTCCCTTGTATTTACCCCTCTCTCTACCTCTGTCTTTCCATTTCTCTTGTATATAACCCCCACTGTTTTCAGACTTGTGAGTCTGTATGAACTCCTTTTATACCTCAACTTTAGAATTGTTCTAGAAAGAGTAAAACAAAAGGAAGAATATGACAAATTGTAGTGTTCTTATTAGAAAATTAATAAAATGATTTAGTGTGATTTTTTTCAGTATTTGATTTCAGATTTTAGGAGTGTTTCATTTTATAATTTGTCACAAATGCTCTTGTGATAGTCAAATGTAATAAAAGGAGAGATTGCACCATCCGATGATTAATATGTGAATCTGTCAGCCTCATGGAAAATATGGAAAACACTATCCTGAGAAATGACAGCATTTGTCCAACATGGATTAAATCCTTTTCAGCTTTTTAATTGATCCATCTTTATATATTTTGTGTTAGTCAGTATTACAAAAGCAAATATGGAAGAGAGGTAGTTTAGCGGAAGTTACTGATGTCCAGCAAAAAATCCCAAAACAAAAGAAAGAATTTTACACAATTTATCCTGGTTAGATGAAAGTAAAATCAGTTTTTTTTTTCTCCATACTGCAGGCCTCCAGCCATCATACCCCAGGCATTGTCCAACTGTCTTCTTTACTGTTGGTGTCCTGAGGCATACACAAGGCCTGATCTTCTGACTTCTGGACACAGCCAAGCGTTTCCTATGAAGAAAACATAATTTATTGAGCATGCAACAAAGAAATATAATTTCAAGAAAGAGTCAGACAATTCATTTACAGCCCCATTTGCTGACTGACTAAAAAAACATCTAACATCTAATAATTCAATGCACTGTGTTCCCCTCAGACACTTTTATAAGAAAAAGTAGTCTTTGGTCCAGGATTAACAAACCGAAACAAAGAAATCTAGGAGGAATCTCCTGGTTCCTTCTTGCCACAGGTATGAGAGAACTTTATATTATACTTACAATCTGATAAGTTACATTAGAAATCAGCATGTGCATCAGTGCGGTAAGTGTAAACCAGCATGACTCACAAAGGAAATGTGAGAAGCCAAAAAAAAAAGGGGCATAATAGAAGACTTTGTTTCATGTTAACCTAGATAACAGGTACTGTTCTAAATAGAATTAATGTTGCTTTGGGAGTGCAATGTTTACATTTCACAGGTTGGATCTCGCCTGACTCTAAAAGCAACCGAGGATACCTCTGATAAAGGTGAGTCAATCTCTACAGGTGGAGGCTCCCTCTGCTGAGCGACACCTCTCCAGCACAGACAGCACAGGATCCGCTTGAATGTCCTCCGCATCTCGTGGTCTCGCAGGGAATAGATGATGGGGTTGACCAGAGAGTTGCACTCAGCTATCACCAAACAGAACTTCTCATAGTCGTTGGCGTGGCTGTCTTTACCCAAAAGCCCGTCCAGTAAGAGAATGATGAGGCCAGGGGTCCAGCAGATTACAAAGGCGCCTGCAGAGATGTGGGTCATCAATGAAGACAGGAATGAATCAACAACAATAAACTCCAATCCGATGTAATATGACACTAGTCTCAAAGGGCAGCTATGTTGGGTAGTGTTTGCAGTTTGACTGCTTGGTATTAAGGTTAAGTGCCTCTCGGAGATGAGTCACCTGAGTAATCAAAGGAGTGGATTATGAAGAGAAATATGATTTCAATTTCACTGTGACACACTGGACATTCCTAGCAACCTCTGAAATTAATCCACCAGCAGCACCCAGACAAGGTCTGAGAGACAAACAAGACCAAAGCTGTAAAACAAGTTTGTTGGGGGAAGTGAGAGGCTACAGGAAGCAAGCAGCCCCAGCTCTCTGAGCCAATGCACATCAAAGCACTTGAAATAAGGACACATTAAAAATGGAACACAATTCAGTTTCACATCATATCACATGAAGTGGAGAGTTGAGTTCAAGTCAAAGCCATTAAATTTGACTTTTTGAGAAAATGTAAAGGAGATACATTTTTTATGATGTGGTAAAAATTAAATGTGAATTGTGCAAAAAAAAAAAAAATGCCTGCAAAACAAGAAAAGGTTGCCCCTAATATTTAGTACATACAATCTAGATGTTTGTGTTTTCAGTGTGTCTGTGCTGGACTTCTTACCCAGAACCATGGAAATAGTTTTCATCAGGTTGATAACAGTCTGCCTCTGCTGCATCTCAGAGGTATGCTGAGACACGTACTGGCTCCTGTATCTTACATAGATAAAGATATGAGTGTACATGGCCACCATTATGAAGAAAGTGAGCAAGTTTAGGACTGCCCAGAAGATGAGGAAGCGGCGGCTGTAGAGAGGAGCGACAGTGGAGCAGTCTTTTAGGCTGCACTCGCAGTTCCAAAACTTGGAGGGCACCAGGCCCATGATGATGCCCACAGCCCAGATGCAAACTATCAGCAGCACCACTCGACGCTTGGGCATCGTGCTGTGCAGCTGCATGGTGAGAATGGTCTGGTGGCGCTCCACGGCGACAGCAAGCAGGTTGGCCACAGAGGCTGTCAGGCTGATGTCAATCAGAGCCCCGCGGATGTACCACTGCTCCTTAGTGAGAGTCCTGGTCCAGGGGCCCGTGTTCAACATCAGGTTCGCGTAGGCAATACCGGCAAACAGGTCCGCTGCAGCCATGTTGCCCAGGAGATAGTAGATGGGAAAGTGGAAGCGGCGATTCATGAAGATGGCCACCATCACCATCAGGTTGGCCAGGACTACGATGAGACACACAGTCAAGCCCAGTCCAATAACCACAAAGTCCCGCGCCGTCCATGTTACACTGACTTTTTTACCCACCCAGTCGTAAAAGTAGGTGACATTATGGTTGTAGTAGCAGGCATTTGACACACTGCTCTCCATGGCCATGACTGTGGACACAAAACAGGAAGTTCAGTATATTTACCTGTCATCAACAAGAGGTGCCACAACAAGCAATGTACAATACTGTATTTGTTCAATAGAAGGATTTCCATTCAGTACATATTAAGTATTCATAGCTCTATTGTTTCATCCATGTCACTCAAATATTATGCTTTTACAAACTGAATGCTATAAAAAAAAACTTAAAAATAGGGATATAAGACATTCCCAGGCTCTCATTTTAGCTATACTGAAAATGCATTTAATTGTGTCCCTACAATATTATATATACTGAACTGTGGAATTTGTGTGTCAGCAGACTTGATGTCTACACAAACTAACTACATTCAACACAGAGGTTGTCAGTGTGATCAGGATATCTGTACAGAAAAATCCTCCAAGGTGGAGAAGAATGTAAATTCAGTTTATTATAGGTGTTTTGTGACAGATGTATTACTGTAAAGGTTACCACTGTGCTAGTGATAATCTGACAATAAAGCAAGTGGGAAAAATAATTTGAATTATTTTTTGCTATAAATAGCCAGAATAAAAAGACAAAGGTGATGTCTTCAAATTGCTCGTTTACCAATAGTCCCAAACTCAAAGGCGCCATGATTACAGTGATATAAAACAGCAGCCCTCTGGAATCATCGATCTACACTATGTATATATCTATATATATCTCAGGCTTACTAATATTTAGGACACAAAAACGACAAAGAAACATTTCAACACGAGCTTCCCCTTCTTTCTGGGACAATATTTAAAAATAAGAGACACACTTGATATAAAGAGCTAAACTTGCAGTGAGATGTGTGCAATTGATAAAAGATAGCTCCCATCTGTTAAACTGAAACTCATGGAGATTTTCATTTCGACTTTATGCAGAGAAAATGTTAATTATATCAAACCTACCACAGTCTCAGGGTCTCCTCCATCCAGACGGGTCTGATATGAAACCGGTGGTCCTGGTTACCATTTGACGAAACACAAAGTCTTCGAGCTGCTGTCACCGGTGTCCCTCCATACAGGGACGCGACTTCAGGAAGACGCCAGTGTGAATCATTTTCACTCAGATCAGCTGCTGCCGACGGACAGGTAGCGGTGTTGGCTCCACCTACAGCCTGAAATATCGGAAAAAACATGCACACGCTCGGTTTCAGTCATTCTGGGCATCTAAGAGGGAGATTTTTCTTTAGAGGACCTCGTACGAATCTTAGCAAAAACTAAGGTGCTGCTCATATAGCTTTCGGCTCAAAGTGTGTTTTTAATACTTTTTTGAAGTTAGCTCTGAAAAGTGAAAAGAAACACCTTGCTCCCAAAAACTCATGCGTAATTTAGGTGGAACCCCTGAAGGCAGCATGACATAAAAAGCAAAATGCGACTTTTGACTAAGAGTGATTCAATTCTACATTTTCAGTCGGAATAAACCACATATTGACACGGATAACTGTAATTATTTTAGAGGTATCATTGAGAATATTTGTAGTCACAGTGGTCTATAGTTAGTAGCCTATCTGAATGACCAAGCATAATAGCGTTAGACAGAATGTTGCATCTTTCGGTTTTGCTATTTTGAAAGTATTTGCCGGAAGTGTTGTTGTAAATTGGTTACAGTTACAGTTACAAGGTGTTCCCTAACCTCCAGTGATCACAATGATGAACTGCAACACTGCACTTGATTTGGTTCTAACAATCAAACTCAGGCGTACTGATGGTTGGTGTTTGTCAAAATAAAATAACTAAACGAAGCAATCAGAAACAAAGTAGCTCCAAACAGCTCCACATTCTTCATCGGGGATGGGACAGAAAATAATACTGATTATTGATATTCTAATTAGGTATTCGAAAGGTTATTGTTCATGTAGCTGTTAACAGTATCTGTATTACAAATGTGTACTTTGTAATCAAAGTTCAAACAGAATTAATGTATGAATGAATGTAATTCCTTCCTATGAACGTTACCTCCGTGAATGTATTGTGTTGTCATCTAGTGGTCACACCGAGGAACTGCAGGGTTAAATTCGTCAAACTCGCGTCAATGCAGCCATAGCACAACACTACCACTTCCGGAGAAGACTCGGAATAAAGTACCGACAGAGGCGAACAGTATGAAATGATTTCCAAACCCGAGTACTAAAGATATTATAACGATTATTATGTATATTTTACCGTTTACGCTTAAATAGTACCGTGTTTATGGTGGCAGCAAGTACTAACCACTAGCAGGAGCCTCGGAGCAGCTTAGCTAGCTTGGAGAGCCGACAAATAACTGGATGGCGATTTCCACATCGTCACTTAACATCAACCACCCAATGGCAGGTATCCACGGCATTACATTCACTATTCTTTTATAAACAGTTTGCCATAATCGTAACCTGTATCAACTTAGTACTGAGGAGAGCTTTGAAGAAAAATAAAGCTACATTTGAACTCAACTCCGATCTATAGAATCACTGCCCTCCAGTGGTCAAAATGGGAAACTACAACACTATATTTAATTCAGGGCGAACACAGTGTTTGAATAACTGTCGAAACTCGTGCTGTTAATGATCACAGTCAGCTACATGCTTATACCATGAACTGAATGTATTATGAATTAATTTAAAGTATTATTTGTAATATTTGCAGTAGGGTTTGTGTCTAGTTATTACTGTTTGAGGACATTATCTTGCAATACCGGAAGTGGTGGTATGCTTCATATCTCTATTGACGCTACCTTGACAAATTTAATGTATCGTAGTTCCTTACTGTGACCACTAGAGGACACTAAACACCTCTGACAGAACTCAGGCCAAAAATTTATTAATTTACACAATGATTTGCAGTTGTTTCGACTTTATCAGTATTTATACAACAGTTAGTTCCGACCAAGTAATTTGATTGGACGAGAGACATTCCTTGAGTGCTGCTATAGAGTACAACAGCAGTGGGACTTTTAACTACTAACTGTATCACTCCGCTTCACAGGTGTTTTATTAACCGTTAATCAGCGTTAAATGAACGTCGTCTTTTATCTAAAATTACAACAAACTTTACAAAGATGAATATCTTTCCAGAAATAAAATGTTAATTAAACGATGTATGGTCGTCAGAAGAGGATGAAGGGAAGAAGCCGGGATGCTTCGGCGCACAACTGAGGTAACGTGTAGAAAAAGTAGCAAGTTAGTGTGCACTGTGCAGGTCAGGAAAATGTTTGTGTTGTTTAGCAACAGTCCAGTTGCGGAACTATTTGTGTTGGCGTTGCCAAACAAATTATGAAATAAACAAACAAATCATAATCTGATTTTGCTTATTGAACTAGTATGGCGCTCGAAGAACTGTTGCATCTGTAACTAATGTGTCGTGATGTTGTACTGAATATCAGCACGGCTTTGATTGTCCTCGGTACTCGGGGGCTAGTCTACCTGCCAGAGATATTCAGACCAGTCTAAGGATGGTATTTATGGTATTCTACGTGCAAATTTTTCTTAGTTGCTGTTGCAATCATATCTGCCTTGACGCTGGTATGAACAACACTGACAGGTTAAACTTCTTTTTTCTTTTTCTTTTTTTTTTTAAATCAACAGCTCTTAACCATTTATTACCAATTATGTTATTTCTAATAATCACACTCATATTGGCATGTTCAATTCGACAGTAACATACTGTAATAACGCTGTGTTATTTAGTGTTGCAGTTTGGGACTTTGCAGTAAAGTGAAACGTAATGCCATACCAACACCTCCGACTAATACCTTCAAAATAAAATAACCCAAAGAGGAGGCAATTTCTCATATTCTTTTCTGCTATGTATATAAAGGTGGACAAAACCTTTAGTCTCGGCTATTTGTTGAAATGTGTTGCATTGAATATGAAGACTATGCTAAACAACAAAATTAATCAATTTTTTGAGTATCTAATATTCACTGAGACTCAGCCTACCATAATGTTGTTCCATTATTATTATTTTGACTAACAGTTCAAGTGTCAAACTTAAAAGCTTAAAAAAGGCCAAAAAAGCACATTAGTTATTGGACTGACTAAAAAGACTAAAAGAGACAAACTTTCGTTTATTTTTTTTTATTTTCTATAAAAGAGATGAGTTTATTCAATGATCATAACAGACTTAATCGGAGACCTCGATAGACCACTCACATACCAAACGATAATCGAGGAAAATGTTTGAACAAAACCTCCAAAACAGAACACATGTAACACAAAATAAAATACCTGAATAAAGCAAACTCTGGGCTGAGCTGCGGGTCAGCACATTCTCTGTAGAACTCATGGCACATTATGTCCGACAATTACTGTGAAAAGAAAAAAAAGGCTAAAAAGGAATGAAGGTTGTTTTTTTTTTTTACCCTTTCAAAACCAGTCTAATAATAAAAATTATATATTCATATATGGTGGACTTCATAGAAATTAAAAAGGTGACTTAAGCACAAAAACAAATTCTCCTGAAGTACTGTTTATGTTTCTTCGCCTCCCTTCAATAGAATGCATATCTACACTGTGGAACATGCCTCCTTGCACCACACACTTAAAAAATTTTTTAACAAAAACAAAAACACACACAGTCACACAGCCGTCCAAATTTACACAGTCACACTCACAGACCAGACTCAAATGCTAGTGTGGCAACGCTGAAACATATCTACCTAAAATCTGCTGATTGAACAAAATGAGAAAGTAGTTGTCAGGTGTGTACACTCATAGAAGTCCAGCTAAAACTAAATTTAAAACCCGAATATTGACAACGGGTAAAATATAAAATGCTGTCTTTTCCTTTTTTTATTTATTTTTTTACTCAAACTCTTTCAAAAATCTCCCTCCCCATTCAAATATTACACCACCCATTCCCGACTCACCCCTTTCTAAACCCCCTCAAAGTGTAATATAATCCAACGAGAATTGCAATACAATACAGGCACTGGAGAAAAACACCATAAGAGACAAGTGGTGAGGACGAGATGCATTCAGATTTCAACCCATCCCCAGTCCAAACAATGTCTCCAAAAACAGAATTATAACTCACATCCACTATTATCGAACAAGAACAAAGATAGAAATCAAAACTGTTTTTTCAGCATTTTCTGATTCGTAATTTTTGTAATTGTTTGTCTTTTTATTTTGTATTGTCGACAGTGTGCCCGTGGTGACTATTTGACGCAAAAATTTACTAGGAGCTCCTGCAGATCCCTTCGACTATTTTTACTAACCTCAGGGACAGAAAGGTGGTAAGTGTTTGTCTTATTCCCCTGACTGTCCTCTCCCTGCTTTGAACACTCTGCTTGTTGATATTTGATCAAAACCTTTTGGTAAGACCAGAGCACACACAGGGGGAACAGCAAGGGTCTCCTCATCTTCTCACTTCTTAACTGATTCAGTAGTGTGACTGTTGTGAACAGGCCAATGATATGAACATTTCCAACATTATGTCTAAAAGTGTAAAAATACAAAGAATGGTGCAACACTTGTAGTGAAATTATATTCCAACTAAAGCTCAGAGACGGCTGGACCTTTCCACTCTTCTGCTAACGATTTCCTGTTGTGGCTTTAAATTAAAAATACAAGGCAGGATGAAAACTTCAACTGATTCAGTCTTTGATAAAATACTTGCTGGAACTATGATAATGCATATATTCAGGGTTTTTTCACTAGCTACCTATCATATTTTAGGACAAGTAATTGAGCATAAAAGTTAATGGGTTGTTTGGCATAGACATAAGTGGCGGAGTGTGTCGGTGTGAAGATTCAAAGAGAGGAAAAAAAGATCCAAAATAAACAGTTATTGTAGTATAAGAAAATACTTCTTTACAGTAGATACTAGATGATGAAAAAGATCTGCGCTGCTCCTACTCCTGGTTGTAAATGTTATTGGTTTGTCCATGTGTGCAGGCCACAGAACATAATGGTCTGTTTAGGAAAGAGGTGTAAGGCAAAGTGTACCTTCTCTGCTGAGAAATATACATGATTTACAGTATGGAAGTTGCCCGCCCCCCCAACCATTTCATGTGTTCACTTACAACAAACAAAAACAAAACAGAACATAAAAGACCAGTCCTCTTCATCACCTCAGACATCTGGCAGTTTCAAAACGCCTCTGCGCAGTGTGTCAGTACATTATCAGAGCATTTTCATAGTTATTGGGATGTCTTTACTCTTGCAATTATTGTTGCGCCCATGCACACCGTTAGAAACAAGTGTGAAAAAGGCAACTGTGCCAACAGGGGTCCTTTTGCTCATGTTGCGAGATATCAGGCAGACGATGCCAAATTCCCAGGAAATTACATCCAAAACAATGAGACTATCCCCATGTGTTGTGTGTGTTCCGTCCACAGGGGCAAAGTGAGCTGTGTCCTCCTCGTCCAGCGTTTGTACTCAAGTCTCCGAGCGCCTCTCATATCTACATACAGTCCATGTCCCTCTGTGGTGCGTGGTCACCAAATCTCACTTTAGAGGAAGTGTACATCATCCAAGTTTTTTTTTTTCTTTTTTTTCATGTGTTTTTTTTTTTTTTGTTTGTTTTTGCAGTTACGTTTCAGTTGCTCCTCTCCTCAAAACAGGTTCTCTTCAAAGATAGCCATTAAGTCACTTTGGAAATTCATGTCAATAGTTGCTGCCATCTGGAGAGAGAAAAGAACAACTTAGCATTTCCTTTGCATTCATTTCTCCTGAGAGTGTGCTTTTAATTTCTTGAAAATCGCTCCTACACCTACAAATATAATTACAATTATTACTGCTACTGTCTTCAAATTGAGCTCTTAATCTATGGTGCACATCTTTCATAATTCTATTCCTTTATAATATTCTATTAAATAGAAATTAGCATCATATTAAACTAAATGCTAAACAGTCATCTCACCGCCTCTCGCCTCCTCCTCTCCTGCTCTCGGCGGCGTGCTAGCTCCCTCTGTTGGTCTAGTGGGTTCTGTGTGGTGGGCTGCGGCGGTGTGGGGGGTTGAGGAGGCTGCTGAATGGTAGTCGGCTGGGGCTCCTGCTGCTGCTGCTGCTGCTGCTGCTGCTGCTGCTGCTGCTGCTGTTGTTGCTGCTGCTGCTGCTGCTGTTGCTGCTGTTGCTGCTGTTGTTGTGAAGGGACTTGGATGTGCTGCTGTTCCAGACGCCTGCGTGGCTCCTCGTGCACCCTTCTGCTTGGCTCCATGACGTCCTCTTCATCCCGACCTCTGGAAAACATTCAGGCCAATAATTCACACCAGGTGAAATCAAATACTTTTCACATAGCCGTGGGGTTTCATGTCTGAGTAAGAGATATCCTTGAAGCTACATCTGGTGCCATCCTGGGTGTCTCACAGGAAAAATGGCTGAGCTAAATATAAACTACGAGCCAACAACAAGGTCAAGTGTAAGGCTATACAACAAGCCTAAAGATCTGTACAGACGTGTTTTAGCTAAAGGTAACTGGCTGCTACAGCTAACTGGTTTCTAAATTTGGGATATGTTAAAAGCAAAAGATCCAACACTGATGAGCTAAACTTTATCTCTCACTATTCTCACTATTGTTTATTGAATCATAGAACTGAGTTTTGTTTTATCCAGCTAAAGTAAGCCTATGATGTGTCAGTTACAACACATGGAAACACTTACACTAGCCTAACACAGGTAAAATATCTGGTGGCCAACACTCCTTTAACTTTAAAATGTATGTTTTAATTTCTGAAATAAAAGGATTGAAAGCTTTGTAATCTGTACATGAGGTTCATTATTAAGACGTGTAGTGATTATAGTGTCTTGAACATCTGTAGCCTACTGAACGAGTTGTTAAATAACAAGGACTTGTTAGTTTCAGACATTATTAAAACTCCTCTGTAAATATGCAATGGCTTAAGGAAGAGTAGACACCCATATGTACTGATTTATAGGCCTGACATTAACACTCCACCAACCGATGCATATAATCTATTATAATCTTTCCAGGTTTGAATTTTGACATGTGAAACAACCCCTCCTGTTGTCATTAGTTACAAACGATTCTCAGTGGCTGTTGTGATCCTATGATATGGCCACTAGGGGGCATATGACATCACCTTATGGTCCAAGGCTTCCCATGTCTTATTTAACATCAGGCATCCTGCCCAAACACAAATGTATTACTATACTTTATACATTACTTAAAGCTCTACATTGTTGATTTCTTTGGGCAGTTGAGACTCTTTGAAGCTGTGCTCAATCTGTAAATATATGACTGCAACAGAGAGGCATTAAAGTCTGTAAACCTATGATTTAATATTTCTAATGACCAACAATGGTGAGTATCAATTTCTATCAGTTCAAATGACAGGTAAGCCAATAGTCAATAGTTTCACATTTTCAAAACTGCACAGCGAGTCAGCTTGCTCTTTTATACATTTTCTCTTATTTTCATATTGTAGTTGTGTGAATCAAATATAAAACAAATTAATGATAGGTATATCTGCTCAAAACACAACAGTCCCTCATGAGATAAAAATTGCAGACATCTGTGTATTCCTTCTTGACAACCTTACCGTAGTTTGTCCTGCTCTCTGCGTAGCCGGTCTTTTTCTGCCTGCTCAGCTTGGGCCTTCAGGGCTTTCTCCCTCTCCTCTTTCTCCCGGGCAGCACGGCGGAACTGCTCAAAACTGTCACTCGATGATTTCACTGCAGATAAGGGTGTAGATGTGGACTTCTGTGCCAGGCTGGCCCATGAGCCCATATTCTTTAGTTTCACATCCTGACAAAACACAGACAGGAAGTTCACACACAAGGAACTGAATGAGGTGAATGAAATAATTTTGTAGTGTCTCTTACACACACCTGTACTTTTTTGGGGGCAATGGGCACCTTGGACTCCTGCTTGAACTTATCTTTCTCTTGCAGAGAGGAAGGCGGCACACTGGGCTCAGAAGAGCGAATGACCGGTCGCGAGCTGTCCATGGACTTCACATCTGCTTAATACAAGTACACACACAAGTACACACAAGAATGGTGTCAGTATCTTGTGCAGCTTCTTCTTCATTCATGTTTTAAATGCAGAAAGTGAGAGGAAACACATGAAGTCTTGGTACGCACTCTGTTGGCTGTGGCCTGGTTGAGAAGGCTTGTTGTCAGGATGTTTGTGATGGTCTGGTCTCATTGCAGGATTAAATGGCTCTCCTCTCATCACTGGTGATGGAGGAAGTTTCTCTTCCTTTAACCCACCTTGGCTCACAGGGGCCCTCTGCTGCTTGGCAAGACAATGGAAAACCCAATATTAGTTCTGCACTAAACCCACCAAAAATACTTTGTCCGACCAGTGAAGGTTCCTCACCTTTTTGGGCTGCATGTTGTGAGGTGGAGACTGGTGAGACACAGGTGGATACTGGGGAAGTTGTGGGGAATGCATCATGAGAGGGGATGGGTTGTCCCTCATGTGACCTGTCAGCAGAAGGGAGGGGCATTAAACTTCAGTCAATGTCATTCATTTGTACCGCAACAGTTTTTGCTTCTATCACCAGTTACAAATTAAATGTTTGTGACTCACCTGTGTTGTAAGGGTCAGCCTTGGTCGGGCGAGGGGAGGGCTGTTCTTGCTGCTGCTGGATGATCTGTTGTGCTTTGTTGGTGGGCATGGATACTTTGTGTTGTGATCCCTGGGACTGACCAGCTAGTCCAGGACCCTGCTGGTAGTTCAGTTGCTGCTGTTGTGCCTGCTGTTGCTGCTGCTGATTATGCTGCATGTGGCGGGCCTGGTGTAGAGGCATCTGTTGGGATGGGGCCTGAAGTGATGGGGCTGGCTGAGCCTGGGACTGAACAGGCAGCTGGGGAGTAGGCAGCGTGGTCTGAGACGAGAGTTGGGCTTGTCCCTGGACAGACTGCAGAAGAGAAGGCGGTCCTTGTTGTTGTTGTTGTTGCTGCTGCTGCTGCTGCTGCTGCTGCTGCTGCTGCTGACGAGCCTGCGCCTGGAGCGACTGCATGGACTGCTGGGGCTGACGGGCTTGCTGGAACTGCTGTAGGTATAACTGTACTTGGTTCATAGGTGTTGTCGACCCTGGCTCTTCATCATCCTCCAGCAGCATCTGGGGAGGTTGGGAAGACAGCAAGCCCTGGGGTGTGAGCGTTGGGGGGGACATGGGCCGCTGATGGAGAGGCTGAGGAGGGTGGAGGATCTGAGAAGGGAGCTGATGCTGTGGTGGTGCTGCTGACTGAGGCTGCAGTTGCTGCTGCTGTTGATGCTGTTGCTGCTGCTGCTGCTGCTGCTGCTGCAGGGTTGGCTGCTGCTGAGGAGGGGCTGGTTGCTGTTGAGGGGGTTTAGGATGAAGAGGTGCTGCCTTATGACTGGGTCGAGAAGGCTGCTGAGGCATGGAACTGTGCAAGGCTAAGGTTGCACATTACAAACAAAGGAGGAAGAAACAAAATGCATCATTAATATATTGTGATCCTTGACAGAGTTTACTCCAAAAAACAATAATAATAATAATTTGTAAGTGTACTTTGCAGTTATTTGTGGGATCTGGTGAAACCCAATTTTATTTTTGTTCTTTTAAATCCTACCTTTTCTTTCTGGTTTTACTCACTTCAACACATCTCATCCTTTTTAGTATTTTGTTATTTTATCTTTATCTTTGTTTTTCTGCCTTTTGCAGATTTACAATAGCATGTCTTCTGTTACCGTATTATTTAATTTACTCACTTAAACTTTTATTTATAATAGTCATTTATTGCTCATTGCGTGGATGGAGGTATTCTTTTTATTGCTTTTATTCTGTAGAGCACTTAAATTGTTACATTGTTTGTATGAAAAGTGCTTTACAAATAAAGCCTAATTGATTGATTGATTAATTTAAGGAACATGACCCCAATTGGAACACAATCTCATCTGGCAATGAGTACACGCCCATGGTGTATTACAGATAAATACTGCAGGAGACATTACTGCTTATTCATATATTTTCTGAACAGCAAAGAATGGCAAGTTAAAATAAAACATTAAAATAAAATTGAATGGCTGTGCTCAACAGACCAGTCTGATTAAATGTTTAATGGTGTATGTATGTAATAAGTGTTTAGTTTATTATAAGGACAGGTTAAAGGAAACTAGCTTATTGTAGGTTAAATGAAAACTAAAATGTACTGCAGTATTAATGCAGGAAAAAGCATGCGCCAATTTTGACAACAGCATTGTTGACTTTGTGGGAGCCATTATTGTTCGAAGGACTACAGTTACACTTGCAGAAACAATGAATTTCTAAGTAGCCATTACTTCTGTACCTGTCAAAAGTGCAGCAGACTGCATACAGCCTTACCTGGAGATGGGAGGACGGGATGCTGGTTGAGGAAGGGGTGGGTCTCTGGTGACGCCGGCCCAGAATGAGCATTGAGGTGTGGAGGTGGCGGTGAGGAGGAGTTGCCTGTGTGGTGGGACAGATGCATGAGGGGTTGACCGAAAGGCGGCAGGGACTCAAAGCTAGTCTCCAGTAACTGGGAAGACTCGAGAGCAGCTACAGGAGGAGCCATGAAGCCTGCAGGAGATGGCTGATGCTGCTGCTGCTGCTGATGGTGCTTCATCTGACTGCTGGACTGAAGGCCTGCAGGTTGGGAATTAAGTCCAGGCTGAGCAGGGCCGCTCTGAGTGTGAGGATGTGTCTTCTTCCCCTCCTTCACAGACTGGCCCTTCTTCTTCTGCTGTTTTATAATTCCTGACAAAAGTGAAATAAAGATTAGACACTTCATTTGGTGTTTTTGACTGGGGCATTTGAGTGGTAAATACACTAAGTTACCTGTCGCCTCAGTTTCACTGTCTGAGCTGGAGCCACTGCTCTCTGAAGAAGATCCAGTCTTTTTGGAGGTAGCCAAGGACTCCACAGTCTTCTCAACTACAAAAAGACAACCACGTGTTCATGCTTTTCCAGAATAAAGCAGCAAATGTGAAATTAATTACCCATAGTAATTTCATACTTCAAAGTAAACAAGACAATCACACACAGAGAGTGACCAGTTCCCAAACTATTTTCCTACAGTGGCTCACCTGGAACCTTTTTCTTCTTGCGGAGGCAGGAAGACACATATCTTTCCAGCTCGCGTAGAGTAGAAGGCTTTAGTGTCTCAAAGTCAATCTCAATCTCATCAGGGTTTGAGTTTTTGAGTGAGGGCTCTCTGGACTGGATAATATGCACTACACGACCAAGCTTGTCACCAGGAAGCTTGTTGATGTCCAAGCTTAACTGCCTCTTCTCCTCGTATGTCATAGGCTTGCACTTTTCCCCTGTAGCTGATGACCCAGCTGCCCCCAGGTCATCTTCCAGGCTGGGAACTGGCTGCATGTTGGAGGGATGGTTGCTTTTCATCCCCTCCTTTTTACTACAGAGGCAAAACACACGTATAGTTTACCAATATGTAATACTGAGAAGTCTTTCTAGAAATGCAGCTCAAGCTGTGATTTACGACTACAAACAGGCTAATTTAAACAATAACACACACAAAGAAGACATGATAAAGATTACCTAAAAGATACCAGTCAGTTTCTTAACAATGATCAATCTTTTAACAGTCATACTTATTTACAAGAAAAAAAAACACATTTAAAACATGTCCTCAGATGATCCTCTCAATTGTGACCAGTTACACAGTAAGAGCATAACAATATGGGGCATATAGAACTGAGCAAGTCTAATACCACATTGTGCAATGACAAGCTGGTAGCTAAAAAAAACAAACATCTAATATCAAGGAGCTGCTCTAACCAGCAGCTTGACATGGACAAAGTTTAATACCCACCTGGGTTTCTTCTTGGGAATAAGCTCTTTGTTACTATTGTTACTGGTCTTGGTCTTCTTGGAGAGCTGTGGAACAGGTGTAGCATCCTGGATTTCATCTACTAGGCCAGCCATGCTTCCTTTCTTCTTATGCTTATCTTTTTTCTTCTCTTTCTTTTCCTTCTCTTTTCTCTTTGGTTTGCTGGCTTGTGGTTGAGACAGGGCAGCCAGCTGCTCATGAACAGCCTTCAACTGTATCAAGAGAAGAGACCAGTCCTCAACAAAGGGTAACAAGGGCTGAACAACTAATTTGCAGCCATTCTGAACCTTCTCTGATCACTGACCTGTTCCTGGAGCTCTGCCAACCTCTGGGCTCTCTCCTCTTCAGAGTCATCTGTGGAAGACTCAGACTCAGAGGATGAGTCACTGGAACTGTCTGAAGATGAGGCGACATGGGCCAAAGGAGGCTGGGGCTTAACAGGGGCAGGATGGTGAAGTGTAGGGGCTGGGGCAGAAACCAGAGGCTTGCTCTCAGGTTCATCTGGCATCTTGGCAAATCGCATCTCAAAGACATCCTACAAAATGAAAAGACACAAACAAATTAACCTAAATGTATGTGTATGTTTGGAGGTATAGACTCAAAACACCACAACTTTTGACTTGAATGCTTTTTTTTTTTTGACCCAGTGTGTGCCTTTCTGTATTGGACTTTCTTGGTCAGATTTGTACTGGCCACTATTATCGAGCCTTGTGTATTTTAACTCTTTTTAATAACTCTGATTGTTTTGTTTGTAGGTGAGTTGTCTATGTGTGCTTTGTTAGACTTTGCCGACTCGCTGCCTTGAATCGGCCCTTGAGGGACAAATATAATAGAATTGAACAGTAAACATTAAGACAGAAATTTGAAGGATATGATAGACTAGTGCGGTGAAAACAAATAGAACAAACCTCTGGTTGAGTAGTTTTATTGTTCAACAAAAACACACAAAAAAATCAAATACATGTTGTTCAGGGTCTGAGTAAATTAAGCTAGACTGAGCATTGAGGCAGCATCCTGGCTCAGTGTTTTTTGTGTGGTACTGTGAATAATCTGTGGAAAATACTAATGCTTTTGCCAACACACAATCTAAAATTGATTTTTCTTTCAAATGTAAACTAAAACAGCACCGGTAATTGGCCAATCTTTTCTTAAAGTGAAGATCAGCTAGTTGCTTTAAGATTAATAAAACTCTAAACGAATTTAATTTTACCAAAGTAACATTGTTTACATGTTAGACTATATTTACCTGTAATTTTCGTGCCATAGCTACCACTTCATGGTCTGGTGGATTATATTTGTAGCAGTTGGAAAACATTAATCGTACATCAGCAGCAAACTCCTGGGGTTCACGGTATTGCCTGTTCTCCAGCTTGGCCTATTAAACACATCAAGGATATTAATTACTTGCCATGCCACAAGTCCACTCTCTTAAATAACTTATGGTACCCTTGATCAACTATGCCTTGTGTCTTCAACACACCTTGATGGTGCTGAGGTCCATGGGATGTTTGATGATATCGTGATAATCGTGTAGTCCCAGTGCATCCACATCGACAGGTTTGTGGAAGGGCCAGGCGTAAGCAGCATGCTTCTTAGACAGCATCTCCCTAACCAGACTAGCACAATATCCCAGCTGATCTTGTGGTTTGGGGCTATGACCTCCACTTGGTGCGCTGAGTCCAATCCCCATGCCTATGTGATGCTGAGAGTCTGGGGCTTCCTTCTTCATCTGTTTCGTAGGTCTGGTACTCTCTCGTCTGGGTAGTGTCTTCCCAGATTTGGACTCTGCTGGCGAAGATTCACTGAGTTGGTCATTTGCTGTGGGCGTTGTAGTGTCTGCTTTCCTTTTCTGGCTCTTTCTTTGCTAGATAGCAGTGAACATAAAGAAAGCACAGACATGGGGCAAAAGGAAAAGGAAATAAACGATTAGAGTGATGCCAGAACATAACCACACCTGTCCCAAAGCATTGTCAAAAATGAGACCACTTGCCCAAGCATATTTCCCTGTGTCAGTCACACTCACTTTGGTCATGGTTATAGGATTCTGCAGCATGGGGGCAGTGCTCTGGATGGATGTTGGGGGAAGGGGTGTCTGAGCAGGGGGAGGCACAGAAGTCATGATGGGAACTTGAGGAGCGCAGTCTGATTGGCCCAGGGAGTAGGGAGCTCCAAGCTGTGGCGCATGGCTAGGTAACGTTGGGGGCACGTGGGCCTGCATCAAAGGCTGGGGAGGTAGTGAAGGCGGGCCCTGCACTGGTCCTCTGGTCTGCGGCGCTGCTGAGAGGTTGGACAGACCGCGAGTTTGAGGAGTCGTGGACGAAGAATCAATGATGGGCCCTGGTTTCAAGTTCAGACCTTGATGAGAGAATATAAATAATTATCCTATCTGACAAAGGACAGCTACAAGAATGTGTGTTGACTAAATATAACAGCATTTAAGGGAAAAAAAAAAAAAAAAAAAAAAAAATCACATACCTCCCTCTCTCCTGCCCCGTCCACGTCCTTTCCCTGTCATGACAACAATCTCAGTTTCATCCTGAGGCATTTCTGTGACCTTTTGGAGGAAAACCTTCTCCAGAGCCTCAGCCATTAAGACTATGTCATCTCCAGGCTGCAGGGGGAGACAAACACTCTTAGTAAAAGTGGAGGCATATCAGAATGTTTGACACTTTATGGTAGTAATGGCTCCAGTGTACAACTATGTTACCTTGTTGTATATGTAGCAGTTGGTAAACATCGTGTTGAAGTCTTGAATACATTCTTGGGCATTCCAGTAGTAACTGTTCTCAAGCCTTTTCTTGATTGTTCCCATGTCCATAGGAATTTTGATTATTGTGTAGTAGTCCTGAAAAGGTTGCATACAAGTATGTCAACAATGCATGTTACACAACAATACAATACATTCTCTACTGGCTTGATTAAGCTAATTTGAAGCTAGCTTTGAAAAAACATTAGAAGTCAAAACATTCCCCATTCTCTTATTGCTTAATTTCTGAAGAAATTGCAATAATTTATTTTATAATTAACCAAGGTAAGTGACTTATTTTGGATTTGAAAACATTCTATAATTCATACTATCTGTAAACATTTCTATCAAAATAAATCTTAATGGTGTCAGTGATATCTTGAAATCAACTGATGTCCTTGCCAACAAAGACATCTCAAATATAAAGATGTATGACAAAGGTGTTTTAAGGGATTCTTTTTCCCCCAATTTACAGTTTTTTGGGGGATCTGAGGATAGAGGGTGTTGTATGCTGTACAAAATGTTGTGTCTGAGTGATGTGATATTGAGTTATATAAATGAAATTGACTCGACTGACTAAGCAGAGCACAACATAATTACAAAGCAAGTTTTTCACACTCTCTCCGCTTAAATTTTTTTTTTTTTTTTTTTTAAATCAATAAGCTTCAAATATTTTCTGGTACAAACAGAGGCATATCAATGAGCAAGCTGAAATTAAAACACTCAACTCAGCCTCAATGAAATAAAAGATACATTCAAATGAATTAATGCTACACTTACGAACAAAAAGGAGCCCTGACATCTTAAACACTGTATGTGCACGTACAGTAAAGGAGAGAGTTGGATGGCAAACAGCAGTAAATGTAAATCAACATACAACAACCATCACAGATGTACAGCTGGAATGTGTAGATGCAGAGAACAATTTGTATGCGATGTCCACTGCGTTTTGAGGCGTGAGGCATCATGCACACAGGGACAAAGCTAGTACTCACAGGCAGGTTAAGTTTGACTGCATCCACTGGTGCATGAAAGGGCCAGGCAAACTGGTGTTTCCACAGGGCCTTCACCACCACCTTGAGCAGATACTGCAGCTGATTGGTCTGGCGCTTCGGCCTGTCGGGATTGATGCACTCTGGGGGTACGGGGTTGCCCGACGACTGGGCCTGCCCCTGGCTGCTGCTGCTGCTGCCCGACATCTGCGCAGTGTCCAGGCCGTCACCCATTCTTACAGGGTTGGGCATGGGCTCGGGCCCCGGAGCGGGAGCTGGAGCTGGAGCAGGGGCAGGGGTAGTGGTGTTGGCAGGACACCAGTTCAGTCTTGGCCCCGGCACAGACTCCACTGACAGAGCACCGCTGATCCCATTGCACTCCTCGCTGGACTCTCTGGAGAGAGAAAAGAGGATACCGTCATTAGCAGGTCTCTAAACAGTCATCCATAAGATTTCACATCATTTTGACAGTAACAAAATCATTAACAATATTTTATTGTAATCATCAACAGTTGCATTGTAGACCTATGATACCTTGCTTGTTGCAAATGCACAGCAAAAGGTAGCACCATAATAGTCATTTACCACTGTTTCCCTGTAGAATGTAGTGCTTTTCTCTTACAGTAGAGCATCAATTGGAGGATATTGTCTATGTTGCTCTAGTGGGTGGACAGTATGGTTAAATATACTCAATTGTCCCAAGTTGAGGAGGAGACCACTGTGTCTACAAACTACATGATAACATTGTGATACCAAGATATTCAGCATATCCTTACACCTCCAAACACAGTCTCAGTTATGTTTAATGGTTCCTGTTTACATTATATCTCCGAGTTCAGTACAAGGCTTCTCAGTAAGAAAAATTTCACACTAGGTCATGACAATGATAGGCTTAATCTTGCATCAATTATCAAACCTAAGAACACAAGACATGTTGAAAATTACAGTTTATGCCATTGCCATAATTTCTGATAGGCTGGCTATCATTTAAATTCTTATTAACGTAAAACTCAAATGCAGTTTTGATCAATTTACCACCATTGTAAATCAGTTAACAAGGTATATCAACTGTAATTAACCATAGTGAAAGTACTTCTGCTTCATGCTACATTACTAACCGACATCTGAGCAGTTTCTCATTTTGGTGGCCATGTAATAAGGGCGCAGATATTTTCCAACTGAAGAGCTTGTTGGATCATGGTCAAACAAGATTTGAAACCTCCTCACCCCATACCTTTCCGACACTGGATTTGGGAGACCCAGAATTCGACAATTTATTTAACAATCCGACCTTAACACCCACTTCGCACACCAAATGGTCAGGTGTGAATTGGTGAAAAAGTAAGCAAACTACTCTCTCAAGCTCTTTTTTATCATTCTTTCACAAAGCTACTTCTGGCTCGTTTCGTCTACAACCGAGAGCAACACTATGAATGCCTTCCAGAGGAGACTGTCTAAAAGTGTGCACCGTTATTTAAATGATTCATCGTGTCTCACCTCTTTCTGTAAGGGTCAGTTTTTACCCTGCTTTTGAGTGTGGCTGTTCAGAGCAGCCATCCTATAAAGGAGTTTTGCTTTCCGACGTGGTCAGACAACACATGATATGAACTACATCTTTTCAAACATTCCCCTTTCCATAAGTGTGGTAATATAGAATGAAGCATCCTGATAAAGAAAATAATGAACCTGGCAGAGTTATCACCTCTCCCTTGTCTGTTTTTTGCCCAGCAAGGAATCAAGGATCTAATGCACATAAGGAGAAAAAATGTTCCTGACTCAATACAATCATGGTAGCAATAGTTGTCATGTAAACAACAACTAGCACTGCAAATGATTATTTAAATTATTAATTATTTACTGTTCATTTAGCTGACTGTTTGGTCAAAATGTTGACCGCATTTGCCCAAAGTCGAGGTGGCATCAGTAAATATCTTGTTTTGTCCGCACCAACAGTCACACCTCAAAATGAAGACAGATAGATACAAGATTTCATTCACTGTACAGCTTTACTTTAAGGCTTAGTTAAGATACAACAGTCTTAGATTATGTTAGTGTCCCCAATTCCCAAAACTTCCTCTCAACTTGATGCACGTTTTAATTAAAAAAAAGAAGAGCTGACAGTATGTGGAACTTTGTGTGCTACTGGGTGCTAGAATGAGAAATTACACTTAAAAGTATAAGGGAGACAACAGAAGACCGGACATGTTTTTCCCTTAATTTTACAGTTTAATCTCTATTTTGAATAAAAACGTAAAAAAATGTACAAGGGTAGCCAAAATATATAAAAAATCATATGTAATTAATTATAACTTCAGATATAAAAGTTGACATCATCTTACTACTGATAATTCATTCAAAAGCTATAAATGTTAAATGACATCCTAAGAGATCTGCATTGTAGTCAGAAGTGCTCAGAGGTTGTTTAGGTTAAGGTTTGGCTCTAGCATGTGTGTGCTTTTCCTGGATCTTTGTCTTCCTATTTTGTCTCAGGACCTGGGAGTGTTTAGGGACGTGGGCGGACAAGGGTGAGGGGTAGGGGGGTTAGCGTCATCTGGCAGCTGAGGGACTGTGTGTTCCACTACGCAGTGCTCAGTCCTACATAATGTCCTCTCCCAGGCAGTCAGGGACATCATATTCAAGATACACACAAAGGCTGTTAAGACAACAATAAGGCCAAATAATAATCTAGAAATAACTGACTAAAAATAGACTAAGGAACAACAAGAATGTTCTGGAAAAAAAAAACTGATCATAAGGTTGTGTATTCAAGTCTCTATTAGACACAAGTTAGTCTTCCAGTCTCACACACTGAAATCCACCCCCACAAAAGGCAGATAAACACACACCACTGTATAGATCTGTGACTAATCACATTCCTGTTGAGTCACTTTCTGAGAGGAGAGAAGCGGTTTGTACACCACATGATCGCTGCCTTGGCCTGCCCAAGGCACTCAAATGCAGTGGAGAATCTGACTAACTGACCAATATGTTAAATGACAACACATGAAAAGAAACAGTACCAGTGTAACACAGATGTTACTTGAAGTGTAGCTTGAGGCAAAAAGACTTGACAAATAAGAGCAAAATAAACAAGCACAAACTGTCTAGGCCCAAGACAATGAGTGTGCACATGGCTAATTTTGCTCAATACAGCAAAACATCAAAGCTGGGTAAGATTGCTGAAAATATACTTTTAATATTTCAAAGACAAAACAAATGTAGGGCTGCAACTACCGATTACTTTCATTATCAAATAGAAAATGAGCTCAGTAGCGCATATACCCCTGCCAAGGTCAGTGTCAAACAAGATACACCAGACTTCAGAGGAAAAAAACTCAAATTCATAGTAAATGATGTGGATCTGCCCTGAAATTTGGCCCACGCCCCATCCCTCCACCAAGTTCTGTGAAAATTGGTTCAGTATTTTTAATATTGCTGACAAACCAACCAACTAACACTAGTGAAAACATAGATTCCTTGGCCGAGGTAACTAATCTGATAATTATTTTCTCACTGATGCTTCAGTATGTGAAATGTTAAAAAGACAGAGAAAATTTTCACAGGCCACAGTAAGATATTCAATTTGCTTGTCTTGTCTGGTTAACAGTCTAAAACCTTAAGATATTTAATTTAGTCATACTGTCATGATGAGGGAATAAAAGCAAATTGTCACACTTGAGAACAGAACATTGGCCAAGAACAGAATGACTGAAACAATTAATCGATTATCAAAGTAGTTTATTCATTTTCTGTCAATCACCTAAAATCAATTGACTAATCACTGCACTCTAAACAACTGACAATAAGTTTGACTAATCTGTTAAGAAAGGTTCTTTGGTCTAAATTGTCTGTTTTTCTTTTTCCAATTTAAGATCGTGATAAAATTGAAATCGTGATTTTATTTTTAAAAAATCGTGATATGATATTTTTGCCATATCGCCCACCCCTAAACCCACATGACCACTGTCATCCATAAGGAAAAAATAAAGTGACTATCTGTACGACAGGTTCAAGAGCAATGCACACAACTTCAGCAAGATTTGCTTAAATGTGGTTAGCTCTAGCTACTGAAGTGTGCCACTGCGATTGATTCCGTTATTTTTGTAAAAATTGTGTTCACTGAGTTATGAACTAATTAAGTAGTGTTTTAATACGCACCATAGAAATTACACATAAAAATTTACTTGAATGTTGCAGGTTCCCTATTTTCGCACTCACTGTAAGTAATTTATTGTGTCAAAACAAGCTGTCATGGGGAAAAGTTACCTCTCTGTCAACTTTAACAGATGCTGTTGCACTAAATTGCACTATACTGTACAGGTGTGCATAAGAGATTGCAATAGACAGCTTCAACAGCTGCTGTTCCCACCAGCCTTCATTGTCAGATTTTTGACAACTGATCACTGGCTGTCAAAGATATGAAAACCCAAAAGCTCTTGCCAACTCACCACACATCACTTGCAGGAATATTTGGCTCCTCATAGCAATTGTAAGTGAACCATGGGATCTAAAGGGACAGTACAGGCACCTAGACTAAGCAGAGCTCAAGAAACACATGGCCTTTAAAACATTGGAAAGCTTCTTGAGTCATCTTCCTTCCTTGAGATGGGTTTGTAGGCATTCTGTAGTAACTGTTTTTGATTTTTTTTTTTTTTTTAAATAATAATGTGACCCAAAGAAAACCTGCATTTCAAAAAAGTGACCTTAACTAACATAATGGAGATAGAGATATTTTGTATAGTGTAAGGCAACACAAAAATAGATGACCTAGTCAAACTAGTATAACAAAGTGTAGTTATCAGGAAGTCTGACAGAAAATAAATTTACATAATCTGCCATCATAGCCAATATGACAGGCTTGCAATCACAGATAAACACTAACATGGTTACCCAGGCGAATACGAGGAAGTTGTGTTTTGGCAAAACTGTTCAGGCTAAGGCTGTGATTGCATAATTCAATGATGATGGTGACAATGCACATCTGCATGTCTTGACCCCTTCACAGCATATAAACATATACCCATGCACAAAATTATTATGACCACTCACAGATTAAGCAAACCAAACCTATTTTTTCTCATAACAATGGAGTATGTCATGGTCTGGGATACATTAGACAATAAATGAACAGTCAGTTCTTGCAATCAACGCACTGGATGCAGGAGAAATAGGCAGGTGTAAAGACCTGAGAAACTCTGACAATGGTCAAATCATTATGGGCAGAGGACTGGGTGGGAGCATCTTTGAAACCGCAAGACTTATATGGTGCTCTGAGACAGCAGGGGTTACATACAAATAGTAGTCTGAGGACAGACAAACCATAAATCGACCCATCACTGATGCAAGAGGGCAAGATAGCCCACTACAAATCATTTCCACAGAAGGGCTACTGTG